TTTTTTTTTTTTTTTTTTTTACTTAATACTTTTCTTTCAGTGGTCTCGCTTTCGAGCCTTTTTTCTTTTTTCTTTAAGTTTTGTATTTATTTACATAATCTCTACACCCCATGTGGGGCTCGAACTCACCACCTCAAGATCAAGAGCCGCATGCTCTTCTGACTGAGCTGGCCAGGGGCCCCTAAGCCTTATTTATTTTAAAGCAAAATGTATACAATGATCATTATATCCACAAGGCTGTAGATTTGATGTCCAGGGTGAGTCTATTTTTTTCTTCTTCTACGAGTCAAAACAAATCTCTCATTTAACATAAATATATCAAATAGAAAATGAATAGACCTACCTTCTCCATGTGCTATCTAAAATGACTAAGATACTTTGTATCATGCTTTGGACACTTGTATCAGACTTTGGGAATGAGCCAGAGTATCTTCTGTGTGGTTCAGACTTGTGAAAATTCATGTATTGATTCACTCACTCGTTCATTCTTTTCTTCCCCAGCTTTATGAAGGTACAATTGACAAAGACAAATTTGAGGGGTACAACGTGACTCAACATTTATTCTTGTTTTTCAGGTTTCAGCCGGCCACCTGACACCCAGGTCAAATAGCAGCACCCCCCTCGGCCCCGTTGCAAAAACCTGTTACATGCCTTCCCTGGTAAAAATTTCCTGCTGGATATGTTTTCTTTATTTTCTGTTTTCTCCACTTCAGCTTCAGATCCACAACGACAAGGATTTGGGCTGTTTTTATTCTCTGCCATATTCCCAGCCCCTAGAACCACACTTGCATCTTTCAACAGCAGGTCCGGTGGCGCCTGGGTGGCTCAGTCGATTGGGTGTCTGACTTCGGCTCAGGTCATGATCTCACAGTTGGTGAGTTTGAGCCCTGCGTCGGGCTCTGTGCTGACAGCTCAGAGCCTGGAGCCTGCTCCGGATTCTGTGTCTCCTTCTCTCTCTGCCCTTCCCCCATTCACGCTCTGTCTCTATGTGTCTCTCAAAAATGAATAAACATTAAAAAACAAAGAACAAAAAACAGCAGGTCCGACCCGCTGCACGGATGTATTCCAAGCGCCACCTAGCCCAGCACCAGCTGATCCTGGGGACTCACCCTCAAGGAGACCCTGGTCTCGGGGGGAGTCAAAGCCAGCTAAAGCAGGACTTGCCTGATTGAAGGTTGCTTGTGGATCGGGCGGGGAAGCCACAGCTTTCTCTGAACGAGGGCTGAACATGGAATTGGTGGTCAGGATTTGCTGGTGAGGAAGAAGGCTGGAAACTCCATGGTGGCTAATAACGGCAGTCAGCACTTACCTAGCACTTACTGTGTGCTAGAATTCAGAAGTGCTCCCTACACCTTGAAGCAGGGTTTCTCAACCTCACCACTATTGACATTAGGGCTGGATCATTCTGTCTCTCTCTCTCTCTCTCTGTTTTTAAATAGGCTTCATACCCAGTACAGTCTGACACGGGGCTTGAACTCACGATCCTGAGGCCAATACCTGAGCTGAGATCGAGAGTCAGATGCTCACCCGACTGAGCCACCCAGGTGCCCCAAGATCATTCTCTTTGGCGAGGGGCCATCCTGTGTGCGCATTGTAAGGTGTTTATCAGCATTCCTGGCCTCTACCCACTAGAGGCCAGCGGTACCCCAGCATCCAGCTGTGATGGCCAAAGTGTCTTCAGACATTGTCAGATTGTCTCTTGAGGGACAGGATTGCCTTGGGTGACAACTGTTATCCTAAAACATTACAGCAGTCTTCTGAGGTGGGTACACAGTGAGTAACCGATAAAGCCACCCGAACCCTCTGCCTCCAGAGTCCATCTCTGCCCATAGTGTTATGTGGCTTTGACTGTGGCTGTGACCCCTGGCCCCGTCCTCTGAGAGTCCAGCACAGCTCCAGGCCTGCTCCACCCCCTGGCTCCCATCCCCCAGGCTAACCAGCCCCATGACCAGACTTCCCACCTGGTTGGCCCCCAAAGCCAGGAGGGGATCACCCGTTGTCTGTAACAGGATCAAGAATTTATTTCTGACAGATCGAAAGGCTTTGGAATGGTCATCCTGGGGAAAACAGTCTGAACTTCCTTGCCCTTTCTTCAGTTTCCTTATGGTTCGCTGTGGTTTTAGCTTTGGAACTCACTGAGAGGAGGGCGATGTCTCCTTACAGCTTCAGGCTTCTCAGTGTCTGGCCTGGCTCCTGCCTGAACCCAGCCAGTCGTGCCTCTCCTCCAGCTGCCAGCATCTGCCTTAGTTTCCCCAGATGAGCCTGCAATTAAGGTCGGAGGCTTTGATCTCTCTAATCTCCTGTGGCTTTTTTAAATTTTTTCTTTGACAGATATTACCTGGGTGTCCAGTATGCACAATGCCTTTTGGCCCTGTGGAGGCAGTGGAGAGCCAACGGCCAGCTGTGATTCCTCCCATCTGTCTGCCCACTTGCCCAGATCAGTCACCCACCCACCCACTGACCCAGACACGGGTATCTCTTCCAAATCCGGGGCGGGACTGACCCTGTCTGGATCTATCTGGAGCAGATAAACTGGCCAAGGACAACATCTTAGTGGGATGGTCGAGTTGGCTGACGGTGGGTGGGTGGGGGTGAGAGGAGCAGGACCAGAGTCTGGTGTGGCTTGTTGAGGCTGGAGGTCTTCCTGGAGGAAGAGAGGCTGCAGCTGCCAGTACAGCCCCAGGAGGGTGGGTTGAATCCAGAGGGAGCAGAACGGCTGGCTCCCCAGGGCCGATGGAGCCTGAGGATTCCTGGGGCCGCGTGGGGCGTCAGGGTTGCTGGCTTAGGGACCCCTGTCCAAGCGTGGGAGCAGGTCCTGACGTGTGGGCTTTGAGGGTGCTGGTGCAAGAGGAGGGTGTTAAGGAGCGGGCCTGAGGGGGGATCTGGGCACTAAGTGGAGCCAGGCATGGGCAGAGGGGCAGGGAGTGTGGTGGTTTGGGGATGCTGGGTGTTCAAGTCTTTGTGTCTCCAATGTCTCTTTCGCTGTCTCTGCGTCTTTTTCTCCATCTCTCCACCTGTCGGTCTCTCCATCCCCGGCTCTGCGTCTTTCCCTTTCCGTCGCTCTCCACGCATCCACGACTCTGTCTCTGGTTCTCTCCGTCTCTGGGGGCCTAGCCTCGGTCCCCGCCCAGAGGCTGGCGAGGCCGGGGGCGGGCCGGGGGCGGGCCTCGCGGCGCGGCCAGGCGGGGTTAAAGGGCCCGGCCGCCGGACGGCGCGGTCAGAACCGAGGTTGCGGTGCGGGCGGATCTGGATCCCGGATCGAGAGGCCGAGGCCGAGACCCGCGAGGTGAGTGCGCGCGGGGGGCGGTAACCCGAGCGCGGCCGGGGCGCTGCGCTGTAACCCGAGGCGCCCGGCAGGCGCGGGTGCTGGCAGCGGGGACGCGAGGGGCTGCGCGCAGCCCGCCCCGGGAATCCCCACGACCCAGGCGGCGGCGGCGGCGGGTCCCAGAGGCTCCGGATGGGGGGACGTGGGCGTGTCCCCGACGGCCGCCGCTTTTGGGCGCAGTTGTTTTGAGCGCGCCCCTCGGAGTCCTGGGTACATCCTTCTTCCCGGGTTTCCGTGATGGGAAGGGACCTCAGGAAGAGCCCCCTCCCCATCAGGACCTCTCGGGCGGATCCAGGCCCTGCCCTGTGCCGCAGGGAGGACCGGAGTCACTCCACAGCGTCTCCCTCAGGGACTTTACGCCAGTGATCCGGCTGCCTTCACCGTCCCTCTCCCCACCCATGGCAGGCGCAGAGCCTGAAAAGAGGAGATGCCCTCCTGGGCCCCCAGAGTTGGCTGTGAGGGTTGTGTGAGCTCCTGCGGTTGGTACCAGCTGACGTTTGTTGGATGCGGGAGGGATGTATGCTCCCTGGTGTCCAAGGGGCTGGCCGTCCCCGCTTGGACCACGGGAGGCGGCTGAGACCTGCCAACTGGGGAGTCTCAGGCTGGAGGTGGGAGGGAGGCCGGGAGACAGTGGGGGAGCTGGGATTTGAACAAACCGGCCCTGTGTGACCCCAACATCCTGTGCCCTTTCCAATGGCCCCGGCCTCTCTGTATAGCCCAGCTTGGGTTTCTGAGCGGTAACATTAGCCCTGGACTGGTGTCCAGTGGTGACCTGGGTTGGTATCCACAGAGGGGCTTGGATGACTCCGCAGACGGAGAAGGCGACCCCCTCCCGCCTCCCTGCAAGCCTTGGACCCCATTCTCCAAATCCCAGATGACTGGGCAAACACTAACGAATATGGTGCCAGCCCCAACAGCAAGGAGAGGCACCTTTGATCTGGGGCTTGCGGTGTCCCAAGCCCTGAGCTGAGCACATTAAAAATGTGGCATTGTTATCAAAGCCCTGTGAAGTGGGTAATACAGTTCCTGTCTTACACATGAGGAAATTGAGGCTCAGACAGGTGCAGACATTCACCTGAGGTCACACAGCTCTGAGGTGGAGCTTTATGGAATCCTTTCCGAGGCTCGTGTCCAAGTGCTGAGATGGTGGGCAGAGGCAATTGCAGTTCTGGGATGGTCTAAATGACTGGTGGTTTGTAAACTTCTTTTTCTGTCAGGATCTCCTTTGGGCCGAGGAAGCTGTGGGCGACAGCCTACAGTGTGCCCACAGCTGCGGTGAGGCCCTCCTTCCCACCTCGATTTGCCAGCTTGGCTCTGCCCTCAGAACTGCTCCTGCAGCCCCTTCTCCGAACCCCAGAAATCTGGGGTAAGCCCCCTCTCAGCTCAGACTTCTAGGATCTGGCACTTTGGGAGAATAGGAGTCTCTGGGGTCAGGCAGCTCTTTGGCATAGAGAGGGTGTTTGGTTGGCATGAGCAGGGAGAGGAGGCAGGCTGTTTTGACTACGGGCTTCCAGAGTGAGCGAAGGGCAGGGCTAGGATGTGGGGCAGTGGAGCCAGTGCTGGGTGCTTGGATGACAGGTGGGACCCAGGACCTGCAGTTCAAGGAGAGGCAACATGTGTGATTTCTGGTGGTGTGTGTGTCCGGGGTGTGTGTGTGTGGGGGGGCATGGTCGTGTCCTGCATTCCTTCTCAGGAGCCCACACACCTTGTATGACAAGTCCCTGACTGGCGGCCGGGCTAACCTGACAAACCAGCGCTCCTTGGGCGTGGGCCACGGAACCAGTCGCTGGCTCCTCCGTTTTCAGATAATGCCAGCCCCAGCAGGACAGGCGGGGCCACCTCTGCTGGGGTGGGGCTGCTGGGTGCCCTTGCCTGGTGTCTGATGCTCTGAAGTTTGCCAGCCTCTCACAGCATCCTGAGAGTGTCAGCTTTGCGTTTATCTCGCTCCAATAAACTAGTAAATAATAAAAGCAGGAATAATGGCTAAAATCTTGCATACCGCCTACCAGACCTCATCTCACTGAAGTGTCCCAAGCAACCTTTAAGGGGTGGCTCCTGCTATTGTTAACCCATTTCACAGATTGGCACATGGAAGCTGGGGGTGGGGACTAGACTACTCAAGGCTGCTGACTCAGGGGAGGCACAGGGCCGCGACTGGGACCCAGGCTGGTTTGAGTCAAAGACGCACATTTGAAATTTTTTTTTTAATACTTATTTTTGAGAGAGAGAGAGAAAGAGAGAGTGAGTGGGGGAGGGGCAGAGATAGAGGGAGACATAGAATCGGAAGCAGGCTCTAGGCTCTGAGCTGTCAGCACAGAGCCCGACGCGGGGCTCGAACCCACGAACCATGAGATCATGACCTGAGCAAAGTTGGGTGTTTAGCCAACTGAGCCACCCAGGCGCCCCAAAGATGCACATTTTAAAAGACGATGCAATCGGGAAACAAATTTTCATTTTATTTTTAATTTTTTTAAGTTGAAGTGTAATACAGGGGGTATAGGGAAGTGCACATTCTACAACTGGGCAGTTCAGGAGTGTTTGCGAATTGAACCCGCACATGTCACCAGCACTCAAGCACGAAAGGAAACGACTGTCTGAACCCCCAGAACACCTTCTCCCCAATTAAAGCATCTTAATTCATTTTTCATTAATTTCAAATAATTAACTTTTTTAAAAAGATTTTTTTTATCTTTTTAGGTAATCTCTACACCCAACGTGGGGCTCAAACTCACAACCCTGAGATCAAGAGTCGCATGTTCTACCCACTGAGCTGGCCAGGCAACCCTCAAACAATTAACTTTTTTATTTATTAAAAAAATTGTTTTAAATGTTTATTATTATTTTTTTGAGAGAGAGAGAGAGAGAACACGAGCAGGGGAGGGGCAGAGAGAAGGAGACACAGAATCTGAATTAGGCTCCAGTCTCTGAGCTGTCAACAGACAAACCATGAGATCATGACCTAAGCCAAAGCCGTCGGACACCCAACTGACTGAGCCACCCAGGCACCCCACAATTAAAACTTTATTTTATTTTATTCTTTATTTTTTAATGTTTATTTATATTTGAGAGAGAGAGGGAGAGGGGGAGAGAGAGAGAGAGAGAGAATGAGAGCATGTGCATGAGCAGGGGAGGGGCAGAGAGAGAGGGAGACCCAGAATCCGAAGCAGGCTCCAGGCTCCGAGCTGTCAGCACAGAGCCCAACGCCGGGCGTGAACTCACCAACTGTGAGATCATGACCTGAGCTGAAGTTGGATGCTTAACTGACTGAGCCACCCAGGTGTCCCTCAAATAATTAACTTTTAAACAGAATTTATATTTTAGAGCAGTTTCAGGTTTACAGAAAAACTATGCAGGAAGTATAGAGTTCCAAAACATCCATCAACTCCCCACACTTTCCCCTATTATTAACATCTTCCGTCATCTTCTGTTAGGATGATATGTTTCTTACAACTGATGAGCCAATGTAGACACATTATACTTAACCAAAGTTAATAGTTTACATTAGCGTTCATTCTTTGGGTTGTACAGTCAACTGATTCATTTTTATATTTATTTTTTTATTAAAATTAAAAAAATTTTGTTTAATTTATTTTTGAGACAGAGAGACAGAGCATGAGCAGGGGAGGGGCAGAGAGAGAGAGGGAGACACAGAATCCGAAGCAAGCTCCAGGCTCTGAGCTGTCAGCACAGAGCCCGACGCGGGGCTCGAACCCATGAACCGTGAGATCATGACCTGGGCAGATGTCAGACACTCAAGCGACTGAGCCACCCAGGCGCCCCCAGGCTTATTTTTTCATTTGAGTGGCATCTTTGTTAAAATTTTTTTTTTTACATTTATTCATTTTTGAGAGACAGAGAGAGACAGAGCACAAGTGGGGGAGGGGCAGGGAGAGAGGGACACACAGAACCCGAAGCAGGCTCCAGGCTCTGAGCTGTCAGCACAAGAGCCCGACGCAGGGCTCGAACTCACAGACTGGGAGATCATGACCTGAGCCGAAGTCAGACGCTTAATTGACTGAGCCACCCAGGGGCCCCTTTTCATGACCAAGTAATATTCCATCACACGAATATATCACAGGATACTTATCCATTCATTCATTGATGGACATTTGGATTGTTTCCACCTTTGGGCTATTCTGAATAGTGCTGCTATTCATATTCATATACAAGTATCTGAGGATGTTTTACATTCTTTAGTTTTAATTTTAATTTTATTTTATGTGAGAGAGAGAGAGAGAGTGGTGGAGGACCAGAGGGAGAAAGAATGAGAATCTTAAGCAGGCTCCACAGCCAGCATGGAGTCCGATGCAGGGCTCGATCCCATGCCTGGCATCGTGACCTGAGCCAAAATCAAGAGTCGGACGCTCAACCGACTGAGCCACCCAGGCGCCCCTGCATTCTATTGACTATATACCTAGGAGTGGAATTTCCAGGTCACATGAAAATTCTATGTTTAGCTTTTTGAGGAACTGCGAAGCTATTTCTCAAAGCGGCTGCACTGCCTGAAAGGTTTTTGCAGCACTTTCTTTCCGGGGGGGG